TCCTCCTCCTCCTCCTCATCCTCCCCCTCTTCCCCCTCCTCCCCAATTCCCCTCTCTCCTCCTCCTCCTCCTCCTCCTCCTCCTCCTCCTCCTCCTCCTCCTCCTCCTCCTCCTCCTCCTCCCTCCTCCCGGAAGGCTTCTCAGAAGCACCCCGCTCCCGAAGAGGGCGCGCGCCTCGCCCGTGCGTGCCGCCGCAGCGCCTGTGCCGACGCGCGGCGCCTCGCTCCTCGGGGAGGGCGCCGCGGGCACTCGGGGCACGCGCCGCCTCGAGCGCGGTGGGCTTCTGCCGGTGGGCCTGCCGCGGTGCCAGCTGCGTCAGCTCGGGGCGCGGGGCGGTGGGTCTGCCGCGGGTCCTTGGCATCGCTCGGACGTGTGCATGTTTCCTTCGGCGAGGGCCATCGAGGAGCATCCTTGATCATTTGGCGAAAAAGCCGCGCACGAAACCGAAAAAAACACAGGAAATGGACGTCCGAGCGATGGCCGTGGGTCTGCCGTGGTGTCGGCCTTGTCCATGTGGGCACGCCGAGGACGAACGGCGCGGCGACAAGCGCAGGGCCGGCGCCTTCCACGATGCAGCCACCTGCTGAGAATCGGGAGGGGAACATCTACACAGACAAGACGGATCGTCGCTTCCCCGGGAAATAGGGGGAAAATATGGGAAGTGGGGGGGGAAGACGAAGACCCAGAAAAGATGTGAAAACGTGGGGGGGGATTGGTGATTGGTGTCTGTTCGTTTGTGTACCCCTGGGCCTCATTTAGAGAAGCCTCCCCCCCGCCCCCCTCGGGCCCCTCCTGCGCGCCGCCAGCCCCTGAGGGCCTCCGCGAGCGGAGCTCGCTCTGCGCGCCGAGGGGCGCGCACGGGGGCCGGCAGCCAGGGTCGGCAGCGTCAGCAGCAGCAACGCCCCGGGCACGCCTGCACGTTGCCGCCGCGCCGCGTCTCCGCGGCGGGCGCGCCCGAAGGGGGGCCGAGCCGACACCACGGCAGCCCCACCGGCAGGCCTCGCGCTCCGCGCCGTTTCTCCGCGACGCGCCCCAGGTGGGCCGAGCTGACGCCACGGCAGCCCCACCGGCAGTGCCCTGCGCCGCCGCGCCGCTTCTCCTCGACGCGCCCCAGGTGGGCCGAGCTGACGCCACGGCAGCCCCACCGGCAGGCCCCGCGCCCCGCGCCCCACACGCGACATCGGCGCGGCGGCAGAGCCCCACGGCAGGCCCACCGCGTCCGAGGCGGCGCCTGCCCCGGTGCCCGCGGCGCCCTCCCCGAGGCGGAAGGCCGCGCGTCGGAAGAAGCGGCGCGGCGACACGTGTTCCCTCCCCGCCCGCCCGGCGATGTGATCTCTGAAGCGGCGCGCCGACCATGATCGACGCGTCCAGTTCTGCAGCGGAGCAGCCGAATCCGGGCGCAGGCATAACTAGCGGGGCTTCGCGCGAAGGGAGGGTTAGCCGTCCTCTCTGAGGCCCTCCTGGTTCGACCTGGGATCGCCCCGCTCCGGCACCCTTCCCCCCCGTGTTTGAATCCCCAACTCGGTGCCTCCATAGCTTCCTGGCGTGTCGCGCCCGCAGCCCGACTGGCGCCTGCACCAGCTTCGACTCGCTTGCACCCGTTGACGCGAACAGTGTGTGAATCCAGCTCCTGGTTCCTGAACGGCGGATTTTGTCTCATCGGCCCCACGGGCAGTCCTCGTTTTGTGCCCTGTTTCGCGTGTCGTAGTGCCTGGGCTCAGTGTACACATTGTTCATGTCTAATTCTTCGAAAAGTATGTGTTTTTTGTCGGGGGAGGGGGCAAGATCCTTGCATTTCTACTTGTTCTATCCTGGGCCTTTTCCTGGCCCCGTGGGGGCCAGGAACAAGTAGAAACAAGCAGACTTAGAGGTGAGCACGATTAGAAATTAACGACGTGCATGCCGGGATCATTTTCTCTGTTCAGTGTGGGCACCAAGGCATGTTTCACGCAGTGTCCCACGCCTTTCAGCGGGGTTTGGCGGTCGCGGCCTGTGCGCTGCGGCGCGCGGTTCGTCCTCCTTCCCCCCCCGTCCCCTCCTCCCTTCTATTCCGTTGGTCGGGCCCTGGTTGGCTTTCTGCAGGGGGGAGCGAGGACGATATTCGGCTCGCGTTCGCAGGAAGACTGAAAACGCTCGGCCAAAGTTTCTGGATGGCGCGGCGGCAGCCATATGACAGAAATGCAGCGGCGGTTTTGCCATGCGCCCCCAGGGTGTTGCTTTTAGCAATGAAAGTTTGTCATACCAGCTTGATGCCAAATCAGCACAAGAATTCGCAGCATCCTCCATGCCAGGCGTCGCGCCGTGTTGGCGTCTGGCGCAAAGCTCAGGGAGGGTCTCCTTAGAGTTGACAATAGGCGACAAGTTCCACAGCTGGACGGATCGCTGAGACACGCGTGATAGGGGGGACCTGCTCCATGGCGCGAAGCATCGCCACCTTAAAGCGACAGGGAGCTTGCATTTCGAGTTTCATTGGTGTGCCCGCAAATTTTGTCGTGGACACGGTTGCAACCAGTTGTTCATGCATTTGTGTTTTTTATCTTTCTTCGGGTCGGAAGCAGGCGACGCGGGTTTTGAAGGCCATTGGAGCTGACCCATCTTCTCCTCCCTCCGTTGACCCAGGTTTGGAAGCTTTTGCGCGGCCGTCTTTGGTTCGCGACAGAGCCCTGGCTAGCCAGGGTTGGCTCTGACCCAGGCAAGTTCGACCCCGACCGCAACCGGGAAAATTGCGGCCGTTCCCCCCCCAAGGGGACTCTCCAGATTCGATACTCTTTTTCGAGAGATCGTCGATTCGATGGGCGTCCCCAGGGGCGAGGGGGATATTGCCCACACTTCCGCCAGTTGTGGTTTGTCGACGCAGGGGATGCGTACCTTTGATACTTAGGAGTTGCATCGTAAGTATGATTGGGTTGAGGTTTGGAGTGTTCTTTATTTGCTGGAGGATTCCAGGAGCCTCCCTGCAAGATGTTTCCGAAGTCCCCCAGAAGTTTCATAGGGCTCTTCGGGAACCACCGCAGATCTCCAGTGACCTCGTCTGACCTCTTTCCCTTCCCCTGTTTACTCAATGTACATGGCCTGTCCCTGACGCGCCCCCAGACGTGTGGGTAGGGTGGGCCAGTCATTTCGCCTGCCTTTGCCCAGCCGCTTAGTATTTTGAAGCCTGATGTGTGCAACGGTTGCACTGACAGGGGGGTCTAAATCGGACTCTCGCCTGACCGCCGCGTACACTCGGCAACAGCTGCAGAGAGGTGGACGACAGGCGGTCATCAACATGCGGCTCGCCTGGGGCGCCGTTCTCAAAATGGGGCGCTCGGCACAGCGCCGCGCAGACTCGCTGTCTATGCAGCAGGTACAGGAATGGTTGACGCCTCCAGATCACCATCGGGCTCTTGTTTGAGATCTGCTGAGTTTGATGGCCAGATGGCATATCGAATGGCCTTCTGCACATCCCGCCACCGTGCCTGGTCTGTGAGTCGGAGTCCTCAGGAATGCTTCTTGGGGTCTCTTGGGGGCGCTCTCCGGGGCCTCTTGGGGGCAGTTTTGGGGCTTCTTGGGGGCCTCTGGGGGGACTCTTGGGAGCCTCTTGAAAACCTCTTAGGGCTTCCTGGGGGCCTCTTTGGCGCCTCTTGTGGGCTCTTAGCGGCCTCTTGGGTGCCTCTTGGGGCCTCCTGGGGCCGTGAGCTTGAAATGTCCATTCGGGTCACCCGTCGGGGCCTTCTCTTGGAGCTGTTTGGGTGGCCTCTGGGGCCGTCTTGGGGGACTCTTGTGCCGTTTTGGGGCCACATTGGGCCGTTTGGGGGCCCTCTTGGGGGCCTCTTGGGCAGTCTTGGGGCGATCTGTGTGGCCTCTTGGGCCGTCCGGGAGCGTCGGAAGCCAAAAAGGCGAGAACGCCAAGATCTGTCAAAAACTTATGGCTCATCGGTGTTCTTTGCTTCTTGCAAGGCCTCTTGGGGCGTCTCGGGGGCATCATCGGCTGTATGGCGGCCACCCTGGGCGTGTTCGATCGATCGTTCGATTGCTCGGGACCCTCTGCGGCCGTCTTTGGGGGCCTCTTAGGGTCCTGTTGGCCCGTCGTGGGGCTCCTCTAGGCGTCCAAGAAGCATTCCGGCAGCATTCAGGACCGCTTGGGAAACCAAGGGGGAAACCAGAAGCATTCCGGCAGCATTCAGGACCGGTTGGAGCATGTGTTGGCTATTTTTATCTGTCGTCCAAAATGCGCCTGTAGGGGGGCATGCCTGGCCTAACTTTCGTACTCGCCAGCAGGATGCGAGGCAGTTCATTCTCGAAGCAGGGCTTCCGCCGGAATGGTAGGCCTACAGGACGCTGGGCGTGGTTCCGTTACCACGTGCCCAGCCCTTGGTTGATCAGTGATGTCTCGCCGATTTCGGACCGATCCCAGGACCTCCACGCATCGTGAACAAACATCACGACGCACGTTGTTTCTCAGTGTTCGACATGCGGGGGCCCTGAAGTACGGGGCTGGGGCTGTCACATAGCGATTCATGATAAAAAGGTGTTCTCAAGCCAGACCTCTGAGGAGCAGGAGGAGGAGAAGGAGGCAACCTGATGAGAACAAGCAGGGGAGGAGGAGGAGGAGGCAGGAGTAGTAGTAGGGGGAAGAGCTGGCCGCAAGAGGCAGGATGATCATGAGAGGGCGGCAAGAGAAAGAGACGCAGCAGGATGATCGGGAGGAGGAGGAGAAAGAAAAGGAGGAGGAGGAGGAAGAGGAGGCAGGATTATTGGGAGGAGGAGGAGGAGGAGGAGGAGGAGGAGGAGGAGGAGGGACAATGATGATGATCAGGAGGAGAAGAGGCGGAGGAGGAGGAAAAGGCAGGCTGACTGGGAGGCAGGGAGAGTGTGGAGGAGGAGGAGGAGGGAGGGTGGAGGCAGGAGGAGGACGCACGGGGGGACGTGGAGGAGGAGGCTGGAGAGGCGAGCGGGGCGAGCAGAGGAGGCGGCGGCCGGGACGCGGCGGCAGGGGGGCGCGGTGGCCCGGCGCCGAGGTTCCCCGGGACCATGCCCTCGCTGTCGCTGCCCCCGCCGGGGGCCCAGCGTCGGATCGCGGGACTCGGGTTGACCCAAAAGGGGGTGCAGCGACAGGGGTCGGGGGCGGAAAAGAGGGGGGGGATGTTTTGGGGGGGGGGGGATGGATCTCATGGCGGGGGCCATGGTATTTCCCCAGAACTCGTGGCGCCTCTTCTTCTTTCATTACGTCCCTGGCCCCCCCGCTGGGCCACGCACATGCCGCCGGTCATGATTTGCACTGCACCCCCCCCCTCTTGGACACCCCCCTCTTGGCCGCTCCCGAAGGGGTGTGGTGCAATAGTTTTGCGGAGTTGCAGCGCATGTGGGGCGTGCGATACGTTCCGGGGCGCAAGCGTGTTGCTGGGTTTTCGCGTGCAACACATCACTTGCAACACAGTGCAATCCGGCGCATTACATTTGCAACACAATTGCCCCAAATATATCGCTGCCCCCGCCAGGGGCCCAGCGTCGGATCTCCAGGCTTACGTTGGGCCTGTCCGTCTACAGGGGGAAGATTCAAAAGTTGTCAAAGAGTAGTCGGGGGACTATCTTTTGAGTGTGTTTGAGCATCTGTTGGGTATTTTTGTTGATATTTTTAATTTGTTCGTTCAAAATCTCCCTGTAGGGGGACACGCCCGACCTAATTATAGGCCTCCCAGATGGGGTCGGAGTTGATGGGGTCGGAGGATCGCGCCGCATCGCCGATGCGGCTCGATGTGGAGCCTGGCTTGCAACACGTCGACGTCGCCGATGCACCGCCCACGTCGACGATGCATCGCCAGTGCATCGCCGATGCATCGCCAGTGCATCGCCGATGCATCGCCGATGCATCGCCGATACATCGCCGATGCATCGCCGATGCGGCTCGATCCTCCGACCCCATCTACTCCGACCCCATCCAGGGGGCCTCTAGGATCGCGGGACTGCGCCTTCATCCACGAACAGCGACCATGTCCGTACACGCTGGTCGTTGCAACTAGCTACCGTTTTGGGCTCCCAGATCCCAACATCTTCTATTCGAGGCGACTTCCTGCTTTCCCTCTTCCCTCCTCTTCAGGGGGTGGCTACTTCCAACCTCTTTTCTACTTCATGCCTCTACCCACTTCTTCCCACCGACGGGTATCCGCGCCCTCGCGGTCTGCTTTCTGGGGCGCGATCCCGCGGAGGCGCGGTCGCGCGGGTGCGTTCCGCGGGCGGCATCCGCGAAAGAGCGCCCCGTGTCCGCGGGGGCGCGGCCCCCAGGGGCTCGGCCCGCCCGGCCGCAGATGCGGAGACAACCTCGCCCACGAGTGCCAGGCGATTCCAGACATGGATCAAGGGGGCGTGGATTAGCGACGGGCCCCGTTCCCATGGGAAGTCGCGGATTCCCGCCGCCGAGCGTGGCGGCACCGGCCGCATCCTGGGGAGGGCACCTCCCCCGATCCGTGGATTTGGCGACCGCGCGCCAAATCCATGGATCGCTAATCCATGTTTGCGCGCCCCCGAGAATAGAGGGATCAACGCCAGGGGTGTCATGAGCTCCTCCTGACAATCGAGGTTCCAGGGTCGTCGCTCGCAGAGGTTTTTGGACGTTTGGTGGCCCCTTTCCCCAGGCTTTGGAGTGGTGCTGCCGGGAGCAACAGGAGGGTGCACGCGCACGTGAATCCACGCTGGTCTCGGGAGTACGCACTGTGCGAACGTTCGTATGAGGAGGCGGGTCTCGCGGACTGGGGGGCCGTGTTCATGTGCGCGGTTGGGCGCGTACGTCTATGGGCTCTCTATCTAGGTGGCCCACCACTTCTTGGGGGAGATGGCGCTTCCTCGAGGAAGTGGCGACCCCTAGGGGTGACCCCCTCGGCATTTGCCCCAGATCGTGGCTGATCCCTGGGGTTGAGGAAGGAGCCGATACATGAATACAAACTGTCGAAGCTCCGCGCGGCGTTCTTGGTACTGCGCTGGGCCACCGTGGCGACACCTCCGGCGCCGCCCCTGGCCCCGGCGCGCTCCACACGCCAGGGAGGGGTCCAGCGCCGAGCGCAATCTGATGTTGATACACAGTTGTCCCTACCATCCTATGGTGCTGGGTCCTCGTTTTGAAAGGACAGCGCCCGCATCTAACTCACTTCCTCCTCCTCCCCCTCCCCCCTCCTCCCGTCCCTGCCTCTTTTCTGGATGATTCGCTGGTTTGTGCGAATTTGGGCACGCGCGTCAGGAGGCTTAACGTGGTGGACGACAGCAACGTGAAGGTGTATCTTCTAGTGGAGTTACCGATACTTGCTGAAGATCGAGAGTCTTGGTTGCGTCAGGTGGTGGAACCGGCACCACTCGCCAAGGTATCTCCAGTGGGTTGTGAGATATTTCCATTTGATTGGAACGAGGTTGGTCGATTGTTTTACCTTGCGCGAATCGAGGAGACCGTTCTGTGCATGGTGCTGAAATTTGAATTGCAGGGGGTGTTTGACTGTGTCGAGGGGACAAAGACTCGTGCGACGATGGGTCGTGGTGGTCCGCTGTAGACGCAGCTGATCCAAGCCAAGTGGTGACCTCCATTCAAGAGGTTGCAGTATGGTGTGGAGTTACGTGCTTCGGTGGGTGCCCGAAGATGGGCTGGCCATGATCTCAGGGTCCGCGAGCATGCCAGTAAATTGCTGGGCAAGCTCTTGGTCGATCGCGACATGCGCAGGGTAGTGGGCTAGACGGCGGATCCTGAAAGGGTTGCTGGCACATGCACGTTTTATGCATGGCGTTCGACGTTGTGAGTATACGATGTCGGCGTTGCCCAGGTGGGTTGTTGATTTTTGTTCTGGCGGGGTCTTGTTTTGATCTGTTAGCCAGGGATGATCTGGATTGTATGGTAGCCAGAATTGAAAAGATGCATGGTGTGTTGTTGGCAGATCATGAGGGACGCAACCGGGCACGTTGGTAGAAATGGGTGGATGCTGTATTTGAGAGAGAGAGAGAGAGGAAACAACAAAAATTATAAAACAAGAGCTCGTGCTACACGTTCTTACACTCGAATTCGAGCGTCGCAAGAGACCACCGAGGCAAGTAGTTAGCAGTCGCCGCACGGGCTTGCAGATCGGGAGCTGTCCAAGTGCATGAAGGTGTGGACCGTACAAGGGGAGCAGGAGATCTCGCTCCCGACAGACCATGTGGCAAGGGACCAGCTGGCCTACATCACGGCTTACATGATCAGATAACTGGTCCTCGCCTGCAAGCGGAAGAGACGGCGGTTGCCCCGTCCAAATTGCAACCGCGATCGTTGGGGTCATTGTCGGATGTTGGTGAAGGATTTATTTATATCTATCGCAGAAGTTTGCAAGAAGCCTACTGGTGGCTCCGCAGAAGCCCCCAGCCTCGGGAATTCAATGCCGTCGCCGAGCCCATCACCACCCCGCTACTGCTTGCTGCAGGGGCGCCCCCAGGAAGTCATGGTGTGAGCGATCTCGGCAACTTGGGAAAAAATGGTACGGACAATGTTGGGTATTGGCGTTTTGCGATGCATTCACACACACATACCCATGCTCATACCTGTTTCCTCCTGGCTTCCACAACAGGTTGGGGCGCCAATTGTGACCACCCACGTCCAATAAAGGAAACGACAATTAACACAAAAGGCGTGCGATGCGCACGCTTTCACAACACCCTCGTCCTCGCGACACGCGGGGTTCTCTGACGTAATTTTCAAGAGGAAGTGGGTATAGGCATAGATGTACGGTTCGTGAGATGTCGCGTTGGGGGTGTTGGCGTCATATTTCATGAGCTGCGAGGGGCTCCTGATGTGGCCACTGGTTCGCATCCTCACCGAGATGGCACGCGTTCCCAATCCCAAATATGGTAGTGGCATGAGGCTGGTGGCGTTGATCCGGACCATCTTTCGAGTGTGGGCACGTGCGATCTGCGATGGCCCTGGGGCTCGAAATTGGGCGACATCGATCCGTTCGAAAACATATGGCATCGCCTGGATCTCAGGGAGGCTCGGTCCTCGAACCCCGAGGTTCGAGTGGTTCTTTCTAGGCCTCCCCGGTGGGGTTTGAGTAGATGGGGTCTGAGGATGGCGCCACATCGCCTATTCATCGGCGATGCGATTCGATGTGGAGCCCGCTTCTCTCCACGCCGATGGCGCTGACGTCGCGCCGACGTTGCCAATGCATCGCCGATGCATCGGCGATGCATTGCCGATGTATCGGCGATGCGGCGCGATCTTCCGACCGCAGAACCCGGCATCATGATTTTTTCATGGCGTCGACCCGGAGAGGTGTCGACACATTCCTTGGGACCGGTTTATCATCCCGAGTCGTTGTGTGACGTTCCTGGAGCCCGAGAATGGCCCCTCGAGGCTCAAAATAGCAAAAGCATCTTGCCATGTTTTGTTCATGCCCCGAGGGGCTGGGACCCCATCTCATACTCACCCTGAGATCCGACGTTGTGACACACATTACAACATCGCGAACAATCACGACCTGCGCCCTGGACCCCTTCTTTTGGCGCCATTTCTCGAGCCGAATCGATCTGCGAGACTGCGAGAGGCCCGGTTGCAACTGGGCGAAAATAGGGGAACGAAGAATGACATAAACATAACATTTCGGAGGTCCGCGCAGATTTTCTCGGATCCGCGCTGGGGTTCCCTGACGGCGCCTTCGGCGCGCCCCCAGGCGCGCTCCGCGCGCCAAGGAGGGGTGTCCAGCGCCGATCCGAGAAATCCGCGCGGACCTCCGAGGTTTTATGTTTATGCCCTGTTCTGTTCCCCTGGAAAGCGCCTGGCGCGAAAAAAGCACAACCCCAGGATCTCAGGGCAGACCCCATCCACCCTGACCTTCCAGAGTGCTAAAAAATAGCCCTCCAGACCTATGTACCGCCCTGGATGGCCTAAAACCTCGAGAGTCATTTAGACGCCAAGGTCCTGGTGCTATCTTTTAGCCCTCCTGGAAGGTTAGGGCAGGAGGCCCCCAGTCGCTTGAAGGGGGGAGCCCCCGCATCACCGGCGCCCCGAGGTTCCCCGGGACCATGCCGTTCGCCTCGCCGCACGGGCCGCCCTTGATGCCGCCGCCGACCGCGCCGCCCAGAGGAGCCCCCCCCCCCTCCTCCTCCTCCTCCCCCTCCTCCTCCTCCTCCTCCTCCTCCTCCTCCTCCTCCTCCTCCTCCTCCCTCCTCCTCCTCCTCCTCCTCCTCCTCCTCCTCCTCCTCCTCCTCCTCCTCCGCCTCCTCCTCCTCCCCCTCCTCCTCCTCCTCCTCCTCCTCCTCCTCCTCCTCCTCCTCCTCCCCCGGGCCGGCCGGCCTCGCCGGGCTCCCGTCGCCGCCGTCGCCTGCTCGACGACCGACAGGTGCGAGGTCGAAGTGGGCACTCTGGGCTTCGCAGTAATACGTGGGGGGCGGCAAACGGGGGGGGAGACGACTAGGGGGGGGGTATCATCATGGGGGGGGCCATGATATCTCCCCAGATGTTATGGCGCCTCTTCTACGTCTCTGGCCCCCCCCCCCCCTGGACCGCGCACATGCCGCCGGCCATGATTTGCGCCCCCCCCCTCTTGGACACCCCCCTCCTTGGCCGCCCCCGATAAGCGTGGGGGGGGCCCCGTGGGGGGCCCCCCCCGACGGGGGTCAACCTCGCCTCGTCGCCGCGCCGCGACGGTGGTCGGAGCGCCTTCGGCGCGCGGTGGCTGCCCGCGACGGGGGTCGAGGTAGGGCTGCCGGCGGGGGTGGCGCCCCCCCAACGTTTGTTAAGAAACTCGGAGCACGTGCGGGAGGAGCGGGGCCGCAGTTCGACAGCAATTCCTGCCCACTCTGAGCAGGGCGTGCTGTCGGTGCCGCCGCGGGCCCTGCCCGTCTGAGGCAGGAGCCCGCCTGCCCAACAGCGGCCGCCGTCGGCTGTGGACAGCGGGTGTTGGCGGGCATCGTGCCCAGTTTTCCCGTACCCGTTTCGGGCATCCAGAGTCGAGGCCCGGAGATTTCCGACGATGTCGCTTCCCTCCGTTTCCACATCTCGATGTCCTGGACTTCGATAATTATCCTGGACGCCCTCGGCTTCCTCATTTTCCAACCGGCTGTTTTTCCTCGATTTCGGCCCTTAGGGCCCGGCCTCGGGCCCCGAGACCAGCAGAAGTGAATCCGGGACGACGGCTCTCGGGCCCCAGGGCCATCAACAACGGATATGGGACGACATGCTACCCCCAGGAAGGAGGGCGAACGTTCTGGGGCCGCGGATTGGAAAAGGATCTCGGATGATGAGGTTCGAGGATCGAGGCTCAAGTCGGGAGTGTCTCTCTACAGACGGAATATTCAAATATGAGCCGGAAATCGTCTGGGGACGATTTTTGGGGTATTTTTGTTTGCCATTTTTGAGTATGTGTTGACTCTGTTTTATTTTTCGTCCAACATCCCCCTGTAGGAGGACATTCCCGACCAAAATCGAGGCTCGAGGTTCGGAGATCGATTTTTGGGTTTTGTTTGGCTTGTTTCAGGGCCTCCAGGAGGCTCGTCGCCGCGGCAGGTACTATCTTGGACTTCTGGCCAGATGGCACCCCAGAATTTGTCCAGCTGGAGGAGGAGGAGGAGCAGGAGGGAGGATGGGGCAGGGGGGGAGGGAAGGGCAGGAGGAGGAGGAGAAGGAGGAGGAGAAGGAGGAGGGGGGAGAGGAGGAGGAGGAGGAGGAGGAGGAGGAGGAAGAGGGGACGAGGGAGGAGGAGGAGGAGGAGGAGGAGGAGGCCAGACCCTGACAGATTGCGTCGTGAACAAAAGCACGGCGGGAGGTTCCTGGCCATGTCAGGCCTCCAAGGGACTCTCACCGGGCCCCGGGGGCCGTCGGATCCTGAGTCAGGATGGAAAAAAAAGCGAGTGCCCGGGGAGGCGTTCAGATTTCTGGGGAGCCGCGTTGCGACAAATCTCGACGTCGGAAGTCTCAGTATACGGCGGGTTCGTGTCGTGTCGACGTGGCTCAAGGTGGAGGGTTTCTCCGAAGGGCTTAGGCGCCCCTCCTCCTCCTCCTCCTCCTCCTCCTCCTCCTCCTGCTTCTCCTTCTCCCTCCTCCTCCTCCTCCGCCTCCTCCTCCTCCTCCTCCTCCCCCTCCCCCTCCCTCCTCCTCCTCCTCCTCTTCCTCCCCCTCCTCCTCCTCCTCCTTCTCCTCCTCCTCCTCCTCGGGTCGCCTACGGCCCCTCGGGAAACCGTGCAGCTCAAGGATGAACGCCGCTGGTAGCCCGGAATCGGCAGGCACTGAACGATCCGCGCTATCCGAAAGCCGCGACTGTTCAAGGTCGAACGATCCACGTGGTGTCTGCGTTGTCGCCGTTGACGGCCTTTATTCTCGCATCGATCTTACGGCTGGTGAAGTTGCGAACGCGTGTGCGTGCCCGACGCGATGCGATGGTTCGCGCGCGAAAAACAACGAAGAGCGTCCGGAGCGTCCGGCATTGAGCGAGCATCGCCTTGCACAGCAAAGTTTTTTGAACGTGTTTGGTATTTTTGTTGGGGGGTCCAGAGGCGCTCCCGGGAGACCCCTGGAGGCTTCAGAAGCAGTCCGGGGTTCGTCATCGGGATCGTTGTCGCCGCCGCCACCGGCGTCGTCGCCATCGTCGCCGTTGTCGTCGCCTTTTGTCGTCGTCGGGCGTCTCAAAAGTCACACGACGAGCCCTCCCGCTCCGTTTCGCCCCCCTGGGGCCCAGCTCGGGACATGCCCTAATAAGGGCGAGAGCTCAGGTCGTGATTTGTTCGGGACGTTATGTGGTTGTGTGGTTGAATGTGTGCGTGTGTGTGTGTGTGTGGTGCGTGTGTGTGTGTGTGTGACAGTGTATGTCAGTGTGTGTGTCTTTGCGCTTGTGTGCGTATGTGCGTGTGTGACCCCTACGGTTACCGCCGTGGTGTTGAGCACATAGTTGCCGATGGAAAACGTGTGTGTGTGTGTCTCTGCGTGTGTTGTGTTGTTTTGTGTTGTGTTATCGGGCGTAGCCCGAATGTGCTTATCGCTAAGTCAACTCCGACTGACTGACTGACTGCTTGACTGACTGACTGACTGACTGACTGACTGACTGACTGACTGACTGACTAACCACTGACTGGTCGCACCCGTTACGCGACGGTTTTATTCTCGAAGGCCGAGGGCGCAACCTATGGCGCAAGCAATAGGAGACGCATTTACTCTCGGAGGCCGAGGGTGCAACCTATGGCGCAAGCAATAGGAGACGCATTTACTCTCGGAGGCCGAGGGTGCAACCTATGGCACAACCAATCGGAGATGCTTTTATTCTCGGCCGCCGAGAGCGCAACCTATGGCGCAACCAATCGGAGACGGTTTTATTCTCGGCGGGCGAGGGTGCAACCTATGGCGCAATCAATAAGAGACGTTTTTCTTCTTGGTGGCCGACGGTGCAACCTATGGCGCAACCGATAGGAGACGGTTTTATTCTCGGCGGACGAGGGCGAAACCTATGGCGCAACCAGTAGGAGACGGTTTCAGTCTCGGCCGCCCAGGGCGCAACCTATGGCGCAACCAATAGGAGACGTCTTATTCTGAAGTGAATTGAACCTTAAGCGGGCCAGCGAGGGCGAGGGGGGGCGAGATGCCAGAAGAAGAAACAATAGGCAGGACGAGGACGGGGAGAAACAAGGACGAGGTCCTAGACGAGGACGACGACGATGAGGAATTGGAGCACAAGGAAGGCGAGGAAGATGAGGAGGACGAGGAGGAGGAGGACGACGACGATCTGGATGGGGAGGACGACGGGGAGGAATACGAGTAGTACGAGGACGAGGTGTGGGCGTTCGAATGCGTGCAGTGCTACGCCCGATGTATGCTTGCCGTTTGGGCTGGCGGTGGGGCCCAAGCGGCAAGCTGTCTTGTGATGTTGTGTGTGAGTGTCTGTGTGTGTGTGCGAGTTTGCATTCATCGTTGTCGCCCCCCTTCTTTTCCCTGCTCCGCCTTCACCTGGTCCTCTTGTTCGTCACGATCCTTCCGCTTTAATTCCTGCTGCTGCTGTTCGTCTCGCCCCAGCGCGGGTCATTTTTTCTGAACCCGAATATTTATTCATCGTTATCGCCCCCCTTTTTTCCCCTCCTCCGCCTTGCCCTGGTCCTCTTGTTCGTCCCGATCCTTCCACTCCAGTTCCTGCTGCTGCTAGTAATCGCTTTCCTCCCGCTCATCCTCCTGCTTCCCCGCCACCTCCTCCTGTGCACGCAGCTCAATTGTCCGATTGCGCATAGCACGAAGTGTTCTTTCTGTGTGAGTCGCAGCTTCGGCCATGACACGCGTCCGCAGATAGAGAAACATCAGCGCCATGGGAAAGGATGGGAGGGAGGGATAGGATGTCAGATGAGGCGCGAGCGCACCTAGCGCTTGTCTCTCACCTCTCTCTTCTCGCCTCCTCCTCCTCCTCCTCCTCCTCCTCCTCCTCCTCCTCCTCCTCCTCCTCCTCCTCCCCCTCCTCCTCCTCCCCCTCCTCCCCTCCGTCCTCCTCCTCCCCCACTTCTCCCTCGCTGCTCGTCGCCGTCCTCCCTCCCCCCCCCCCCACCCCCCTGCTCCTCCTGCCGCGCCCTCGAGGCCTGGACTTTGCCCAGGGCTGGTGGCCCCCGCTGGGCGTCGGCGCCGCCGCCCCGGTGGACTGCGGCGGCGGCGGCGGCGGCGAGACCTGTGCCCCCGGGCGCGCAGCGCCCCGCCGAGCAGCGCCCTCCGTCGGGGGCGGAAAAGAGGGGGGTGATGACTAGGGGGGGGGGGGATATCATGGCGGGGGCCGTGATATTTCCTCAGAACTCATGGCGCCTCTTCTTCTTCTTCTTTCATTGCGTCCCTGGCCCCCCCGCTGGGCCACGCACGTGCCGCTGGTCATGATTTGCACCCCCCCCTCTTGGACACCCCCCTCTTGGCCGCTCCCGACTCCGCACCCCGCGCCTCGGGCCTCGAGGGTTCGAGTTCCGACCGGCTCCCCCCCGCAGGACATATCACTGCCAAACGATGGTTGACGAGTCCTCTGGCTTGTCTTCGTCGCCAGAGGGGAGAGGCCGAAAAAGCGTGCGAGGGGTGGCGACGGATGCGTCTGACTTGAGTGTGCACGGGTTTCGGGCGTTCCGTCGGTTCCCGGCGGCTTCTCCAGCTTGGGGACGCGTTCCAGCAGCCGCACTTCGCCGAGGGCCTTCGGGGAGGGGGCCCGAGCCGTCCCGATCGGCCGCCAGAGCGCCGAGCTGTGGCCAGAAGCGGAGAGCAGGTGGTCCTCAGGGCGGAGGGTCGAGGGCCCAGGGTTCGAGGGTCGAGCCTGGAGGTTTGCGCCCCTTTGTGGAGGGCCTTCGGGGGGCGTCTCGTCACCACGGCTTGAGATCCGCCCTGAAGTTCTGGCCAGAACGCACCTCGGAACAGCTCTTGGTGCCGATCTTCGACCCCGGAGCATCCTGTCGTCGGATCAGGCGAAAGATGTTTCGAGGGTCGTCGGGCGGCTTCGTCGGTCTCGGGGAGGGTTTCTCGCCTCGGGATGCCTTCCAGCAACTACGCCCCGCCGAGGGCGTTCTAGCGGTGCCCAGATCGGCCCAAGCATGGCTCGAAAGAGGCATGTCGACTCCGGCACGTTTACCCGCGGGAGGGGGGAGGGGAGGCGTGACGAGGCCTGGTGGTTCACGCAGGTCGGGACCCCTGTGCACGCCTTTTCGGCCAGGCGAGCGCTACTTGGAGAGGCGGTGGGAGGGGGGGGCGGGGCGAGGCGCCATGCAGATGAACGTACAGTCAACCCGCAGAGTAAAGGTGATCGACTTCCCAAGGGTACCCTCGCATCCTTGCCTCTTCGGTCACCTTCGGTCCATCCTCAGCCACTTTCGATGGCCAGCCCCGCTCGAGGAGCCTCGGCAAGGGCGTCCAGGGCCCTTGCATCCTTGCCGCGCATCCTCATCATATGGGTTGGCTGTACCACTTGGCATCGCTCGGACGTGTGCACTTTTCCCTCGAGGACCATCGAGGAGCATCCTTGATCATTCGGCGAAAAAAACACGCACGAAACCGAACAAGACACGGGGAATGGGCGTCCGAGCGATGGCCAGACCAGAGCCTAAAGTAAAACGCCCTCAAAGGCAGACATCTTGGCGCCGTGGCGGAAGTCGGGATGGAGGGCCTCCGCCAGCGTTCCGTGCCCGGGGGGGGGGGCCACTGTCGGGCCGCGGGGCCGCCTTCTGCGAAGCTTGCTCTCTCGGGAAAGGGTCCAGGCCTCTTGTGGGCCACGCTGCTAAGAGATCGCGACGTCGGAGGTCTGAGTTTTTGGGCTGTCGTGTGTGTCTATGTGCATGTGTCTGTGTGTGTAGTTGTGTGTACGTGTGTGTATATGTGGTTATATATATATATGTGTGTGTGCGTGTATGTACGTACGTATGCATGCATGTATGTATGTATGCATGCATGCATGTATGCACGTGTGTATGCAGGTGTGGTTGTATGTATGTGTGTATGCATGCATGCATGCATGCATGTATGTATGTATGTATGTTTACATGCATCCACACATGCATGTAGGTGTGTATAAGCGCATGTATGTATGCATGTGTATGTATGTATGTATGTATGCATGCATGCATGCATGCATGCATGTGTGTATGTATATATGTATGGATGTATGCATATATGTATGTATGCATGCATGCATGCATGCATGTATGTATGTATGTATGTATGTATGTATGTATGTATGTGTGCATGTGTGCATGTGTGCATGTATGCATGTATGCATGTAAGCCTGCCTGCATGCATGCATGCATGTATGTATGTATGTATGTATGTATGTATGTAGGTATATATGTATGTACTTGTGCATGCATGTATGTATATATGTAAGTATGTGTGTATGTGTGTACCTCAATGTATGTATGCATACAAGCATGCATATATGTGCATGTGTATGTGTATGCATGTATGCATATATGCATGTATGCATGTATGTGTATGTGTATGCATGCATATATACATATGCATGCATATATGCATGCATACATACATATGCACGCATATATGCATACATGCATATATGCGTGTATGTGTATGTGTATGCATGCATATATGTGTAATTGTGTGTATGTATGTATGTATGTATGCATGTATGCATGTATGTATGCATATACATGTATGCGTTATGCCACATGCTGACGCCGGCCAAAACGTCGGTCGGTTGGAATAACATAGGGGGATGTCGTGGTCGGCGGTTTTGGATACCGCGCCGATTTTGGCTACAGAGGGGTCCTACACCCTCGTGTTTCCCGCTCTCTCGTCTGCGAACGGCGCCGACGTTGAGAATGGATGCCCGCGTTTTCACGCATATTCACACGCACGCACGCACGCACACACATACACGTGCACAAATACATACACATACACACCAATTTACATTTACATATACATATACATTGACATTTAAATGACATCAACATATACATATACATACGTACACAGTTATACACATATATATATATAGACATGCATACATACATATATACACAGACAGACAGACAAACATAAAGCAGACATACAGGCAGACAGACAGACATACATGCATGCACATATCAACATATGCATATATATATATATATACACTTAAAGAAGCACGAATGTGCATGTATGTGTGCGTGTGTCCTCATCCGCATTGGCCTCCTCCGCCTCCGCCTCCTCCTTCTCCTCAGCGGCCGCTCGCGCAGCCTCACTGCGGCGAGAAGTCGGAATGACCGTGCGGCCGACGCGCCCTTCTCTGACGTTCGGCAAACTTCGACCTGCGATCGTGGCCTGCGTTTGACGAAGCGAGGACCGACTTAGGCGCGAAGTCCTGCACATGAGACCCAGGTGGGCGCCGCAGCCAAGGTGCAAAGCAGGCGAAAAAAATGACAGCGAGGCCCGCTAAGGCAAAGAGTATGCCCCGTCCTCCTCATGCTCCTCCTCCTCCTCCTGGAGTGTTCGCTTCGGTTCGGCTTGAGCTTGCTGCTGCGGTCGAAGGCCAGGGTCGCGTAGGAGGACAAGGAGAGGGAGCAGCAGTAGCAGCAGCAGCAGCAGTCGTGCGGTGCGACGGACGCTATGCGGTACAGGCTTGTGGTGCGCCAAGGTGTGCGATGCGAGTGCTATGCCACGGCGTGCGGTGCTACTAGACACCAGACTTGGCTCTACGATGCCATGTTGTGCTGTGCCATGCAATTGCTGATATACGCAGTGCTGTACAACAGAACAGCTGGGGCCCTCAACATAAGGACTACTGTGGGATCAGGAGGGGCCCTGGTTTTCTGGCATTTCCCAAGATTATGTCAGGGAACCTATTCGTCGCCGAGGCTCGCCAAGGCGGCCCGAAGAGTCCTTTCGTTCCTTGTTTGGCGTTCCTTGGAGTAGCACAATGTCTGCATGCTCTGCTATGCTATGCAATGCTGCGCGAGGCCGTGCTGTGCCATGCCATGCTGTGCAGTGCTAGCCTGGGCAACCCACTCTGTGTTATGTGTGCTAGACGGCGCTAGCCTTGGCATCGCTGTGCTGTTCTATGATCTGCAGCGGCTGGCACCCCATGTTCCTCGCCCTCGTTGCATCGCACTGCGCCCTCGTGCTCCCATCAAACAGGGTTACCCCGAACGGGGGCCAGGCTGGGTCATGCTTTCTGCTGCCCAGGACGGCCGTGAGAGTCACTCTGCTCTCCCGCACCGCCCCCCCCAAGCTCCCCGACCCGTGGGGAAGGCGAGGCGACACCACCGAGACCACCCGAGGGGCCATTTGGATTCCCTTCGGGGATCATCCGTGAAAATTCGAACGATACAGAGACGATTAGCATGGCCCCTGCGCAAGGATGACACGCGCAAATCGAGAAATGTACACATGATTTTTTTGAACAAAAAAGCAAACCAACAAAAATCACCCGAGGGGCCACCTCCAGCGAGGGGTGGCCCACGAGGCCTCCCCGAGCTGCGAGCGGGGGCTGCCTCGAGCGCGAGGCGCGCCTCGCGCGGGGTGCTCGTGCGGTGTCGCACCCGCGGCAGCTCCTGCCCCGCCTGCGGCAGCTGCGGCAGCTCCGGCGCGAGCCCTCCGGCCGCGCGGGCCGCGTGCCGCCTCGCGCCGCCTCGCGCGGCGGCGGCGGCGGTGCCCGTCGACCGCCGTCGCTCCCTCGGCGGCGAGCCCCGGGGGGGGAGGGGAGCAGTCAGGAGGGGAAAAAACACACAGACACAATTAATCGGCGATTCCCAGAAAATATTGGAAAATGTGGGAAGTGGAGGGGAAGACAAAAACCCAGAAAATATGAGAAAATATGGGGGGTCTTTTTATTTGTATGTATTTATTTTTGTGTCCCAGTTCCCCTTCAAGAAGGGGCGGGCCTCCTCAGACAGACGACTCGGAGGCCCCCCCGGCTTTCAGGCGATCGCAAGCATGGGTTCGGGGGGGCGTGGATCCCGCCGAGAAGAGCGGCGCCGGCCGCGTTTTGGAGAGGGCGCCTCCCCCAGTCCATGGATTGGGCGACCGCGCGCCAGATCCATGGATCGCTAATCCATGCTTACGCGCCCCCGAGGCTTATGATATTCCAACCTGCTTTAGCCTTAATCACGAGAAAAAAAATCGTGCATCAGGAAAACACCGACACTGGAGAGTTTTCACGTGTCGGGCCCTGGGAGGCAATACTCGTTCAACATTGTTTCGATACTTTTCTGGGGGCTCAAAATTATTTCTCGGATGTGGTCCTTGAGTACGATGGGAGGAACATGACCCCCGGCCTTCTGAGAAGATTTCTGAGCCTTCCCCGAAGACACAGACGATTCTTCAGATGGCGCGAGAGTTTTTGAGGAGCCCCGCCGCCTTCTGAGAAGGCCTTCTTCGTCTCACTCCCCCCCCTCGCTCGCCGCCGACTCAAGGTTGAGCACCTTCCGGGGGCTCCTTTCGGCCCAGACTCCCAGACATCTGGCGCCGGAGGCCTTGATCCCGTCGCGATTCCTGTGGCCCAGAAAGGGCTCCAGAGGCCAAATGGTGCCCTCGCCCCCCAAACACAGAGAAAGCCCGACGCGGCCCCAATCGGGGGTAAGTCTCCCACTGCGTAGGCGCATTGCATGGCATCGCACGGCACATCGCGTGGCCCGGCTTCGCAGGTGTCTTGACAGAATGTTCGGTATATCGCTTGGTAGGTCGCTTGGCATTGCTTGGCGTTGCGGTGCATGGCTTCGCAGTGGTTGGTGCTCCTTTGCATTGCTGGGTATTGCTTGGCCGGGCAGCCCGGACCTCAGACGATGTAAGGACTTACGAAAGCACTCCAGGACCAAGCAACCAAGGAACAATGATCAAGAAACCACGCAACCAAACACAAGACAAAGGAATTGAGAAATCAAGATCAGGGAACCAAGACTCAGGAATCGAGGCACCAAGACCAATAAACTAAGACCAAGCAGTCAAGACCATGGAAGTGAGCAACCAAAACCAAATAATCAAGGAACCAAGTCCAACGAACGTTGGGCAAGAAACAAGACTCAGCATTCCCATGGAAGGCCCTGGTAAAGAAACACAAATAAGGAACCCCCAGGAAGGCCAGCGCAAACTCAACTGGGGGTCTCAACCACCAGTTCTTCAAGATCCATTAGCAGAGCGGAATTGTGGAACACCAACGTCGTGGATCGAACATGTCCTGCCGAACCTGGACATCCGACGCCGTGAGTGTTTCGCAACGTGCCAGGGGCAGCGATAGGGGAGGATCGGATCTGGGGGGATGCATCCCCCCCAATCGCCCATGGATCGCAGCCGCTGGAGTCCGCTGTCGGCCCTCGGGGTCGTCATCAAAAACGGTCGGGAGCTCTCTGGGCATTCGAAGAAGCACATGTCACCACCCACCGAACCACCCCAACCCAACCTGAAGGCCTCAATCTGCCCTCCATTTCCAGTGGGTGGGGGGGGTCGGGGAACATTCAAAAAACACATGGAACCCGTACCCCCCCAACCAGGAATTCGGGTCTTCGGATTGGGTTGGGTTGGTCTGCTAGGTAGTGAACATGTGGATCTCATACAGTCCAATGGTTTGGGGACAGCACATCGGCGGACCCACACATCCGGCGTCGTGTTTTTTTTGTCGCAGCGTGGCTCCCCAGAGGTCTGGACCCCTGCTCGGGGATGGGCTTCTCGCCCGAATTTGTTGGTCGTCGTGTTCGTATTCATAGTTGTGCCGATCGGCGCGGGCCCTCGCACCCCCTCCCCTCCCCCCCCTCTCCTGGAGTAGATCTTGGCTGCTTTTTGGCGCCTGTTTCGAGCAGGTGGAGCCCTCATAGGACGCACTGCTGCAAACAGTCGGCACGAAGCAGAGGTCTGGGGCCAGACCTCCCCCCCCCTCCCCTCCTCTTGGCATCGCTCGGACGTGTGTTTTTTTTCTCGGCGAGGACCATCGAGGAGCATCCTTGATCATCTGGCGAAAAAACCACGCACGAAACCGAACAAAGCACAGGGAATGGACGTCCAAGCGATGGCGAGGTCCTTTCGCCCAATGTCGAAACGCCGAATGAGAAAAAACGCTCACCTGACAGCCCAGGGCCCCCAGCGAGGGTCCCCGGAAGCCGAGAACGACGCGAGGAGGTCCGCTCCCCCGCCCCCTGTTCTGGGGAGCGTTCGGGCCAGCATCTCAAGGCGGGTCCAGCCGTGGCCCCCCTGAAGGCCCTCCAAGCGGGGCCAGGAACGACCACGCTCGATCCTCGAAGAGCGAGCCCTCGATCCTCCGCCCAGAGGGCCATCGAGCTTTCGGGTCAGAACGCGGGAGTGCGGCGGCCGTTCGGGACGATTCGGGCACCCCAGAAATACTTTCTCTCTGCGAGGCGCAGCTGCCGGGAAGCACCTGGAGGCGAGAAAGCCTCCAAGAACCGCCAGTGACCGACTCGTCGTATTCCTTTCACGACGCGAGGAGGTCAGGGTCGGACCCCTGGGAGCACGAGGACGACGATCTAGGCCTCCTAGCTGGAGTCAGAGTAGACGGGGTCGGAGGATCGCGCCGCATCGCCGATGCATCGGCGATGCGGCTTGATGTGCAGCCCGATCTTGTCAACGCTGGCGTCGCCGATGCACCGCCGATGCCTCGTCAATGCATTGGCGATGCATCTGCGATGCGGCGCGATCCTCCGACCCCAGACCCTCGACGTCACGATTTTTTCATGAGGTCGACCTCCAGGGGTCTCGACCCATTTCGCGGGACCGGTTCCTCGTCCTGAGTCGTTTTTGGACGGCCTTGGGGCCCGATAGGGTCTCCCCGAGGCTCAAACCAGCAAAACGTATCCCGCCATGTTTCAGGAGGGAAAGAAGAAGCGGACACAACGAATCGTCGACTCCCCAGACAATATGGGAAGATGTGGGAAGCTGGGGGGAAGACAACAGCACAGAAAATCTGTGAAAAAATATGCAGGAATCCTGTCCTCTGTGTCTATTTATTTGTGTGTCCCAGGGCCCCTTCAATGTGGGAGGCCCCTATTTTTGTTTTTTTGTTTATAAAAAAAAAAAAAAAAAAAAAAGAGGAAGGCCCCATAGACGAGCGCTCCGAGGCAGGGCGGGCGCTGCGCGGCGGCCGCGCGCCGCCTGCCCTCCGCCGCCGCCGCCCCGCGCCCCGCCCCCGCCCCCCCCCCGCGGCGAGGCAGTCCACCGACGCCATGAGGAACAGGCCCCCCCGCGAGCCGCCTCCCGCGCGAGGAGGAGGAGGAGGAGGAGGAGGAGGAGGAGGAGGTGGAGCAGGAGGAGAAGGAGGAGAAGGAGGAGGAGGAGGAGGAGGAGCAGGAGGAGGAGGAGGAGGAGGAGGAGGACGTCCCTGGAGCACATGAGGAACAGCCCTATTGTCAACCACGGTGGGAAGGACGGGGCAGCTTTCCGAGGCTCCCCCGTGCAGCCTTGCCCCCTCGGTCTTCGGCGCCCTTCGGCATTCTGCTGCGCTCCGCACGGAAGACGTCAACGTGGCGCTACAGGGCCCTGGCATCCTTACCGCGCATCCTGACTATCCTGGTCGAGTGTACAAGCCTCGCCAAGAAGTTTAAAACGCCGTTCAAAATCGCAGCGCTCGATAGCTCGGGCACTCGTCAGAGAACGCGTTCTTCAATGCTGCGAGGGCGCTGCCGAATTTCGGACGCCCCTGCGTGTGGGCCAAACGCTTCATGCCAGCATTGAAGTAGCGCCGACCGCGCAAGCGCCGAACACAAAAACCGTCAAGTCATGTTTGACGAGTCTTATAGCATCGTGTAACCGACCCCTGTCCCTTTCCCCATCCAGACTCCCACCATCTCAGCAACCCCAGCTGGGGGCATACCCCTCGAAACTCGCAGGAAACGGCCTGGATCGCCATCTAGGGCGGTAAACCGGCCAGTGGGATGCAGGCCATGCCCATGGGGATAGGGGTTGGTTAAACGATGCTCAGTGTCTGCCATGCGCCGCGAGGTCAGGGGGCGAGGAAAGGTTGGGCGTTGCGTGATGGGGGTGCGATTGCTGAGCGGCGAAGGAAAACGAGCTCGTCTTCACCGGCATTGGCGCGCAAGCTGCCCGCGTACATGAGGTCGCGCGTAGGTGCCCGCGTTTCCAGTGCAGCGTGGCGCGCTGGTGGCCCGCGAAAGCCACCGCGTAAGATCTCTTGGGGCCGTCTTGGACCCTCTCGCTAAAAAAGATGGGGGGGTCCAGTTCCCGTCGCACCCTCTGAGGCTTACAGATGCCGTCTTGGGGCCGCTCTTGGGCCGCTCTTGAAGCGCTCTTGGGCGCTCTCGGGGCCGTCTTGGGGCCCTTTTGGGCCCCTCGTGGGACTATCTTGGGCCGTCTTGGGGCCATCTTGAGGCCTCAAGAGCCCATCGGAGGTGAAGAAGCGAGAAGGTACAAAACATTGATCTTCCTTAGGTCTTTGAAGGATTTTGGCCTCTTCGGGGAAGTCCCCGGAGGGCTCGGAGGGCACTTGAAACCGTCTTGGGGCCGTCTTGAGGCATTTTGGATGCGTGTCGCAGCCTATCTTGAGCCATCTACCGCTATCCTGGGCCATCTTGAAGGCCATCTCGCACTCTCTGAAGCCCTCTTGGAGCCATCTTGGGACGAAGAGGACCCTCTGCCACATCGCGGGGGAGCCCGTCCAGACGCAGGGAGGGGGGGGGAGGTAAACCTCCCGAGCAAGGAAAGGAAGGGCCACCTGCGCCCAGAGGGCTGGTGGGATTCAAACATAGTCAAAAACATTGTCTGGGGACGATGTTTTGTGTGTGTGTGTTGTTGTATCATGTTTGATTATTGTTTGACTGCTTGTTTATGTTGTTCGTCAAGAAAATCCCCCTGCAGGGAGACATGCCTGACCTGGGCGTAGCGGCATCGGCACCTGTCGGCTTCCCCGCGGGCATCGGGCCCGCGAGCGCGCTCCAGGGAACCTGTTGTTCGGCCAGCGACCCTCGATCGCTGCTCTCTTTCGATCCTCGGCCCTCGATCTGCTCAGTCGATCCCCTCGATGTTCTCTCGATCCTCGATCTCGATCCTCGATCCTCGATCTCGATCCTCGATCTCGATCCTCGACGTTCTCTCGATCCTCGATGCTCGATCTCCTCTCGATCCTCCCAGAGAGTGCTCGCCTCTGCTCCTCGAGCCCTTCCCCCCCCCTCGATCCCTGAGACCCCTCGATCCCTCGATCCCTCGGTCCCTCGGTCTGCTTTCTCTCTCTCTCTCTCTGCCTCTCCTCCTCCCGCCCCCCGTCGCAGGCGCCGGCGGGGCTGCAAGAAGGCCCGGGACCCAGACAGGCGGGAGGAGGACCCCCTGAACGGGCTGCCGGTGTGGGCCTTCGTGGACCGGGGGGGAGGGGGGGCGCGCTCGAGCCGGGGCGGAGGGGGGGCGTCCTCCTCGCTTCGTCGTGGTCTTTCTGCTCCTGCTCTGTCCTCCCTGCACCTGCTCCTCCTGTTGCCTGTCCTGGTCTCCATCTCTCTCGCTCACGTTTCCTTCCTCCTTCCCTTCCCCCCTCCTCCCCCTGTTTGTTTTTTCTCTCTCTCTCTCTCGCTCTGTCTCTCTCTGTGTCTCCTCCGTTCCTTCTGCCTCTCTCTCTGTCTTTCTCCTTCTCTGTCGTTGTGC